TAGCCGCTGAACTCAAATCTGGTTTCAGTGTCAGCTGAACTTTTTTTCTGAAAAGAATTATGAAGCGCCTTCTGTGTCGGAGCGCAGGTGGTAGCAATATTGCTTCTTGAGCAACGCGTTACGGGTTCGGTTCCTTCCGGTGTTTAGTGTTCTTTATCAACAGTCGCCTGAAGCTAAATTTATGGAGAGTTTGCAAGCAGATTTTCTTAAGTTCAAGCACTACTTGCTTACGAGTGCCCATAGCGCAGGTGCTACGCTTTTTCGTGACAATGGCTTGATATTGCTGGTCCTATCACGCAACTCAACCTCCTCCAGCTACAGAATCGGATCAGAGGCGGGGGCGCGTCTCCCTGGAGGAAAGACAGGATACAGCCCATGATTCCTTCACGGTTGACCACGAGCATGTTTAGCGGTGTCGTGGATGGACAGTGTTATAACGAACTCACAAGCAGCAGAAGCCTAGATTAAACGGGCAAGTTGCTTCAGTGAAGCCTGACTCCTCCGAATTCGATCCTTCCGAATTGTCAGCGGAATAGAAGAGGGGCGTTGCGCTAGGGAACAACACCCAAACCTGTCTTTCAAATCTGATGAACGATGCTGTGAACAAAATTACAAAGTCTTTTTCTCGCAAATGCTGTATGGCCTAACGGTTAAAGAGGCCGATTTGCGCGTCCGACGTTAGAGGACCCGTTCGCTTAGTTTCCTATCCTTTTTTCATAGCGCGTTGACAGAAGCTAGATTGTTGTCTCTCGATGAATTTTCTCTTAAATATTCTGACTTAGGCATGCGGCACTCTAGCGTATGCAACACACGAGCGAGGCGTTTTCACGCCAAGGGAGTGTGACCATCGCCTTCAGGGAGTCAAACTACCCCCTGACACGAATTTCCTTCGACCTCACCTCGAGCACAGCTTTTGTGGTAAGAAGGATCCTGATGGTTGAAACTTCATTTACAGGGGCAATAGAAGACATCCATCATGAAAATGAGGAACTTGTTTGGTTTGAAGAGGAAGGAGTAATCCGAAGAATTCATGACTGAACTGTCCGAAATGGTCCGATCTTTGCGAAAACACTTTTCTGCGAGACAAGGTTTCCTATACATCCAAAAGTAGTTCGCAAATGTATCGAGCAAACTTCTGAAAAAGTGCAGAAAACCCCCGACCTCAGTCTCAAACCTTTCACCTCGCGGACACGAGACCGGCATGGTATCCACTATGCCACCGGATCACATCCTAAGTCTGCAGGCGTATCATACCCGTGCTGAGCTTGAGTCTGCTCCGTATCACGACAAGCTGTAGCTTTTTTCAGCGGATCCGGAATGCAGATTTGAGGTCCTAATTCAATAATCTCTCAGGTGACATGCATTTCACCTGGAACGGCCGCTTCGACCCACCCTTACACGTAGCGGGCTCATGGGACCATGCCACTTTTTGGCGAGCCCAGCTTTCGCTCAACATCGGGTAAACCTGCTTTCAAAACAGTTTGGCGCTCATGTCGTTAGTGGGGACACTGAAGTGAATGAGCCACTTACAGAACTTGGGACTAAGCCTCAGGGAGGGAAGGGATTCTGGGGGAGGACGTGAGCAACCTTTGTTCTCCCTGGTTTCTCCCCTTCTCTGGGCTTAGTCTAAGTATCACCTACCGGCGGTTTTTGAATGCCCTGTTTTATTCTTCTTGTTAGCTATACTAAACATAGATATTCTGATAACTGCCATTGCCCCACGCGGCAGACGGAGTAGCACCCACAGAAGGGTGCCAATGTCCGCCAAAGGGTTATGTAAGATGCACCTACTCAAAAAACATTGAAAGTGTCTCAGAAAAATGTACCCACCTGAATCCTCTTATGCGGGAGACGACCGCACTCGACGGCACCACGCTGACGAACTGACTCTGCCCTGGCTGATGAGCCACGTTGCCACGAAGTCGGCGTGGCTCACACGCACAAACTTGTCAACGACGCTGTTTTGAAATGAGTGTTCGATTGATTGGTTTTTTCTCCTCTGTATACGTACTTAGCCTTAAGATAGACCACCCAAACTTTCCAAACTTGGATAGCATGCTTTATTTCTTCTGGAACTTCTTCTATGGAGTCAACAATAGTAGGTATGAGAACTAACGATCTTTTATGACGCCTTATGTTCTTTTAAGTGATTTCTTGGGGAAATTTGCTAATATCAAATCCTGGTGAAAACATGCTTGTAGAATTTTAATGATCCTGAACAAGATTATACAATCCAGTTTGAGCGTGGGCTCTGTATGGCATAAACCGAAAATCTGGAAAGGGCCAGCGCGAGGGAGCGATCATGAACGGATTCTTTGACGCATTTCTGGCATCCTATAAATGGAACAGGAAGAATGAAAATGGACATTGTTTTTATGTTCCACCCTATGCCCACACAACATGCAAAAGCCACTTGAAAACTGATTCCCAGTGTAAAATCAAATAAGCTGACATCGTTTCTTTCGAACTTCCTTTTAATTCCACCCTGACTCTAGGAATATCGCGCTCCACTGCACAGTACAAAGAAGGGGAACACTTTTTGAATTTGTCAATGCAAAGCCTAGCCCCATTTCTCGTCTTCTCAAGAATCGACCGTCATTGCTGTACGTGTCAACCTCGCGCTCACAACCTCTCATCTAATATCAAGTCCAGCTCCTCGCTGTTCCCCTTGAGCGATTCAGATCCGATCGGCATTTCATTAATGTCAACCCTCGAACAAACCAAGAATAATCTTCATCTTCATTAATCAAAAAAAGTATGTAAAAAGAACATCTTAAAAACGCGTTGATACAACTTTAAAAAGTACAAACTTCGAAGGCACAAAACTTCTAAGGAACCTAACATAAGTGGCAATAAAAGGCACATTGTGTCAGCATATGACATTGCCAAAACAACCTGATTGTGGCAAAGCATGAATGATAAACGTAAACGTAGAAGCAATAAGGAACTATCCCGTTATACCGCGAATGACTCGCATTGAAATCTAGCAACTCGCCAGCTGAAATACTGGGTTCAATCTCCCGATTGTGATTGCAGTAAAAATAACTTGGATTACAAATCAAATAGTATCGTAAAAAACGAAATGATCACGTTATGACAACGAGATTTCACCAGTAAAAAATAGAGGCTTTCCTAAAAACTACTGTAGTCAAGTGGAATACTATTTAAAACCGTGAACAAGTAAAATGTAAATGTAACAAATGCCAACTGGATTAAAACGGAACAATCAAAACTGTCAAGACTGTGCGAGAAAGTCTCAAAAGAACACCACGACATAAAACAACATACACCAGGAAGTACAAAAGCAAAACATAAACTCCACGATGCAATTTAGTAACAACGTAAATAAATATGAAATCTGGTTAAACCACTACAAGCGAACAATATAAATCATTTTCTCAGTCTAGAAACTTATGCGCACGACTTATAGTACAAAAAGTCAACCACTAAGGGCTCATAATCGCGAATGTTCCTTGTCTAGAAAAACATTTTGGAACTAAAAATTATGTGAAGATTGACCTACTCCGACTCTCTCTTGAATATTGTAACACAGTAATCTACCAGATTAATTCGCTGGTGTACTGATGAGATCTGAAGTCTGGAACGCGTGTCTGTATTGCCATACCGCAAATCGGATGAGAAGCACTCTGCATTACTGGCAAAACACTTTCATGACGAGGCGCTGAACACTGGATCGGAGCGAAGATACTAGACGAAAGTGCACCATTTCGAGCATTAGCTACGGGATTTGGCTGAGCTGGTGTCAGCATGTGCGAAAGGGAATGAGACGGATTGAATACATTCTGGGCCAGTTGAGACACAGAAGCGAAAGAGTTCAACGGAGTGGATAAAACCATTTTAGGCTGCGGGCTCCTAAAATTCACCCATTGCGACATTGTCATCAATCAATCACAGAGACTAAAAATACGTAAACCAATGGAATTACGCTTACTCGAAACTTTGCAGCGGTGGCTGAGGTGAATGCATCAAGATACGCTGGAGTTTCTGAAAATTCGAACTTTAGATCAAATTTGAGTTCGTTGTTTCTATGCGGATCCAAAGATATACCCCAAAGCAATGACATTTTTGTTGAAGCCACGGCAAAAAGGTGAAACCGTGTAAAGCGGATAATAGCAAAAGCAAAATAGTAGAATTGGTGACAGAGAAAACGTGAATTCTGCCGAACCTTTTGACCGTCATCGGTTCTAAGGTGATCCTCTATGTCCTGTGCTGTCATGTTCACGTAGGCGAACAATGGTCTATATACACTGAAACACACCGAATACACACAACACATGCATAACTGCGTAGTCCTCGTAGTTCCTTCTTGTGCTTTCGATTGCTCTCACGTCATTAGTGTAAAGCCAAAGCTGAGCGTGGTGCGGTGTTAGTGATAGGGGGCAAGGGAGGCGAAACGCTGTGCACCCAACAAACCACAAGACATGCAAAAAGCTATATTTTCAACTTACTTTTCTACAGCTGCACCACCATTTTTGCCAAGATAGCCCATGGCGAACTTTTGCATCTTTTCAATCTGCTCATGAGTGACTCTCCCAGGTATATACAACAACGTTCTGAAAAGAAAAAACTAATTGTGTGAATAGAGACGAAACAATCGAAATATATAAAGCAATCGATGATTTGCATACCCCTCCGCTTTGTTTTGCAAACTTGACGGTGCAAAACCGGAATGGGGATCACTCGTAGTTTTGGCAGCTCCGTATGGACTCACATTGCCGGAATCGAGCATCTAAATTGATAGGTAGATATCAAACATATATAGTGTTTTTCAGGATAGAAGTGCAGACTGCCAGCAGCCATGTTCCTGTTTCAGTCGTGAGCTTAATTTCTACTCTGTTTGCTCAAAGCTTTCCTTTTGATCACTCAACTGCCTTTTCAGCAAACAGTATGGGTTCTGACCATTTTTTATCAACAGGAGCAAAGAAGAAACGGAAGAAGAAACGCAGGGATGTGCCCCTCCCATTCCTGCTAATCCAGCTTCACAACACCCCAAAGAGCCCCAATCCGAAAACGACGCAATTACCACGGCGGACCCAATTCGTAACAACAAAGCGTATTTCTGACATTCACAGTGGATTGCCGGGGTCGCGATAAGATCCTGAACAACTCTTTCCATGACTTAGGTAACAAGGTCCCATTTTACTCGCTCGCAAAAACGCTGTGTCTGCGTTCTCTCGAAAGAGGTACTCTCGCTTACTCCTCCTCCTCCTCACCGCGCTGTGTCTCTTCGTCCTACTACAGTCGACCTCGCAAGAAAAGTGCGCCTTAAATATCAAAGTTTCTATCTTTCCTTTACCTTTCCCACCTCACTCACATCTCCATCGCAATTCTTATAACGCCATCGCCGCCCTATGGTTTACAGTGGTTCTTTAACGTTACAGTAAAAAAAAATGGCGCGCAACTTTGAAAGCAAGGAGGAGCGATTTGAAAACCATGCTCTTGTGTAAAAACGAGTTTTCGCACTTCGTGAAAGTAGTTCATATACTTCCAAGATTCCTCCCCACCCCTCCCTTAGACATGGACGAGAAGCCTAAAAGCGCCTCTATAATTCTAAGCGCTGCTAACAGTGACGTGTTTCGGCGCAGACGATATCAAATAACCGTACTCTTCCTGAGTTTTCGATTTGAAAATTTAAATCAGGACCTCACCACAAAAAGGAAAAAATACTGTGTCATGATGCAGTTTTTTAAGAAAGCTAGGTAACTCCGAACGGGGAGTGTAGCCAGTCAGAGGGGTGGGGGTGAGGGCAGTCACTTGACATGCGTGAAAAGCTGGAATGTTCGAGTTCACACTAGTTCGCCGAGAAACAGTTCATGATCATGTTTGCTTTTGCTAAGCGTGTTAACTAGCTTTGTGTGCTAAATTTCAAGATCCCAATTAGCAACTCAAACTTCTGAAGGTTACCTTCATGATACTGCCATTGAAAACATCTGAGTAAGCAACGCACCTCATCTGCTTTCCTTTTTCGAGGACATGGGAAATCAGGTTCAATAACTTTGCGAACTGATCGAAATGTCTGACATCCTTTACGAAGACATCTAGAATGAGGAATGATGCACAACCTACCTTACCGCGATATAAAGGTGAATGAAAGAGAAGCGAAGGTCACCTGTACGCCGCATATTCTCGAATTTCACCCTTGTATTTACTTTTTCGAATACACAGCTTCATAGGGTAGTCGCAAAGATGGCAGCGTATCTCTTCTGGCACTTCAGTAGTTTGCCCATTGAACGATACCAAATGACCCGAAGTAATGGCACTACCTAAAATGAACACCAACAGAATGGAAAACGGACTTTCATTACAGTCTCAAGGTTGACTTACCGCATTGCGAAGAACTTGAATTCATTGGAGTCAACGCCTCAAGCTTGACTGGACCTGACATTCTCGTTGGGAGCGAATCGCGACGATTAGAAAACCCATCGCAACTGCTATTTGAGGCCCCGGACGACTTGGGCTAAATAAACTCAATATAGTGGTGCAATGTGAAGCATTGTTATAAAGCGAGCAATTTTGTACTGCTGTAATATCACGAAACTACGATAGACTTCTTATGCTGGACCACGTTATTCAGTGCTGGCACTCAAACGTTATGAAATTAATCCGATTTATGTTGGCCCGGCAAAGTGGAAATCGGTGAGTTCACTCACTAAGTTTTCGATCCCAAACTAACTACCTGAATGGTTCAATCTCGAAATTTTAGACTCATGAACACGGTGAACTTTTGATCCGCAATGACCTTTCTTAGTCGCCTAATTGCCCTTTTGTGCACATGTTGCTTAGGCAAGGGCACTTACAGCTTACACTTACAGATTTTGTTCTCTACCAAGACTACAAACCACTTGCGTGTGGCTAAGCCGATCGAACCAAATCTAACAGATATGTCTAATCACAGGTATACAAGAGCACATTAATAACAGACATGGGCCCAAAAACTACTCATTAAGAAAAAGATTAGAAATTACTGCTCTGGATGTAACG